TTTAAAAATTCCCTCTTCCAGTCATGAGCAGTCTCTGACATCTTGTTCCTGATTTCAGGCTCTTATCTGCCAGCCTGTTGGGCAACCTAGGTGAGTGAGTGATAAAAGGTAAACTTACCACCTATAAAGGCATCCCAGTGCTGCTGCTGACACTGGGTAGCTTTTCAGGAGAATCATTCTGGAGAACAGCAGCACCTACGGAGGCTCAGGTGATGCAAAGGTAAGAGAGGGCTTTCTCTCATACTGCTCCCAGTAAAGGCTCATTTCTTCTGAGTGGCCTTCTCAACTGTTTCGATATTTACTGAGTATTATAATAGTAGCATTTGTTTTGATAATTATGAGATTAAATGGTTGTATGAGATTACAGACAAACTTCACATTGTGATGTGGCATTTTTTGAAACTAATGTAGTAACTTTGAAACAAGTTTCATCAAAGCAAACTTTGTTTAGTGAAAACTTAATTTTTATTGACACAAAATCTGACAATTTTTAAAAAGAGTTTGTGCATGGATGGTTTTGTGGAAGTGGTGTGGGATTTAAATTTTTTTAAAAAATCTCCCCACTGGTGCTCTTTTCTGGCCTACAAAAGATATTCTTGTCTACTTTTAGTCTTTAAAAATCTTGCCATTGAAAAGCAGCCCTTGAACACTTACAAATTTAGTAATAGTTAATCCAGAACAGTGGGCTCTGCTGGCTAGACTGATCACCTAAAAAAAGGTAGGTTTTGCCAGTTCTGTATTGTAAGCATTTGTTTTTTAAATGTGAATTTAAACATTTATGTTCTAAGGACTCTAAGTGGTTTATATGAAACAACATAGGGGTTAAAACATCCCTCTGTTTTAGGGGTGATCCCCACTGACTCCAGGACCTTGGAAAGTGGACCCCCAAAACAATATTTTTTTTTAAAGGCTACACTCCTTAATGACCACTAGTGGCCCTTTAAAAAATTGTAAGTTGTGGTTTTTGGGGTGCTAGGGAACTCCAAAACATTGCTCTGGTGCCCCCTAGAGGGTATAAAGGGACTTTATGAGTTTTTTTTATGGGAACCTTGAGATGTTGGGAAAGGCTTTATACCCCTTAGCTTCCTAAACGCCATACTTTAAAAAATCTTAGTAAATCCCTTGGCAGGGATGAGAGGCAATGGAACCTATAGAATGCACATTTTTCCAACCCTGCTCTATGTCAAGAAACACCAAGCAGTAGGAGGTTAAAGATAACTGACTGCAACAAGAAACATTACAGTATTTTAAAATGTATTTGTGAAGGCTTTCACGGCCGGGATCTAATGGTTGTTGTGGGTTTTTTGAGCCCGAAAAACCCACAACAACCATTATTTTAAAAAGTTTTTAAAAATCAGAGATTAATTTTAAAAGCAAGTAAAATTACTAATGGAAGACCTTCCTAGAAAGAGATATTTTATCCTGCTTTCCAAACATGTTCATACTCAATAGCTGAAATCCTGTTGTATACTGTAATAAGTTTCCACTAGAGCAAGTCTCTTGAATCAGGATCCAATGGTTGTTGTGGGTTTTTTGAGCCTGAAAAACCCACAAGAACCATTATTTTAAAACTTTAAAAAAATCAGAGATTAATTTTAAAAGCAAGTAAAATTACTAATGGAAGACCTTCCTAGAAAGAGATATTTTATCCTGCTTTCCAAACATGTTCATACTCAATAGCTGAAATCCTGTTGTATACTGTAATAAGTTTCCACTAGAGCAAGTCTCTTGAATCAGTGGAACAGGCAGAGGAGTTGATTTGCCGAATTCCTACCAATTCAATTGGCCTACTCTAGTTGTGACTCACTGTGCTAAGCAACAGGATTTCAGCTAGGATATTAGCCAGTTAGACAGATTAAAATCCATCAAATGTTAATGAAGACATGAAAAAAAGAATCTTTGTCTCAGTTAAATCTCTTGAAGTTGTCAGGATAGACAAGAGGAGCTTTCCATTGACTGATGATGAATCGCAGCCAAACATGCTTAACAGTAGAATCCTATAGTGGTTCTTCCATCAAATGTTAATGAAGACATGAAAAAAAGAATCTTTGTCTCAGTTAAATCTCTTGAAGTTGTCAGGATAGACAAGAGGAGCTTTCCACTGATTGATGATGAATTGCAGCCAAACATACTTAACAGTAGAATCCTATAGATGTATATTCAAGTCCCATTGTAATCAGTGGGTGAAATCCAGTCACAACTAGAGTAGGCCCATTGAATCAGTAGAGATTTGGTGAATCACCTCCTTGTTCTGTTGATTCAGTGGGCCTACTCTTGCTGTCACTTACTGCTGGATTTCAGTCATGAAGTCTTACTCCCAGTTAAGTGGTAAATAATTGTTGCTTTAATTTTCCATCAAACAATCCATACAAGCCTATTCAGGGTGTTAACAGTTAAAGAGAATCTGTTCAATAGACTTTGTAGGTCTGGGAATCATTCATAGAACCACTAAGTTGGAAAATAATCTCAAGGATCTAGTCCACTCCTACCAATGCACAAATCCAGAACTAAAGCATTCATGACGTGTAACATGAAACTTTGGAATTTCTTTAAAAATAAAAAATTGCATTGGGCCACATTATGAGCTGATCTGGGCTGCATGCAGCCCTCGGGCCGCAGGTTGGACAAGCCTGATCTAGTCCAACCCCCACCAATGCACAAATCCAGAACTAAAGCATTCATGACTGATGGCCATTCAAACTCTGCTCAAAAAATTCTGAGGAAGGGGAGTCCATCACCACTCCCCAACCCCACATTCAGGGAAACTGTTATAGAAACATTTTCCCCCTCTCTCTTCCTGTTCCACACTCACACTCTGAGATAGCCTCATGCCAAGTTCTTATAATCACATCTTGTTTAGTGGCTGAAAAAAAAATCACATAATGAGATACAATGCCTGAAAATATTAAAAGTGAGCAATATGGAGTGCTGGTGGAAAGTCAAACCTTTTCCTTACTAGGAGGGGGCCTAAGGGACCTATGTGAGAGCTGGGAAAAAGACTGGCCACAAAGAAGAGGTGTAGCTACTTGTTTAAAAACTTGTAGATGGATTATGGATAGCCTCATGTGTGGGAATGGTGATTTATTTGGCCTTGTATACTGTTATTTGTATATCTGCGCTAGGCTTCATTCTGTCTCTGGGTTTAGTTTTTTTTTTAATGAAGTTTATTTGTGTTTTATTCAATATTGGATCATTTGATATATTGCATATCTTCAAGGGATGCAGTGATTGTTTGTAATGACTCCAGTTGGTTTGGATTTGCTGTCTTTCTTGCTGTTTGATATGTTGTAAGATAATTTGGAGACTATTGGCAGAAAAGTGGGATATAAAGAATGTGTGTTCTAGTACCCACAGATATTACTCTAAACACAGTGGCTGAAATCCTGTTGTGTGGCAGGAATGATGTCATCAGCAGTGGCAAACAAATATTGATTAAAGTTTCCTTTGGTGATTCCAGGGTTCATGCAACTTGTACTGGTTGGCACTTATCCCCAAGATCCTCTTCAATTGAACCACGTGTGTGGCAGATTGTCATGTAAAGTGGTTTGACTTTTTGCCAATTATGGGAGAATGCACCCAGCACCAGTGTGTAAGCAGAAGTCCTGTGTGCTCCAGCACTGACCTCTGCTTGTGAAACGGAAAGCAAGGGAGACAATCTGCTACAATGATGGTCAAGGTTTCGGCTATGTCACTGTTTAACGGGATCCCCATTGAGGAGGTTTTCAGTCCAACATCAGAAGGCCCACATATACTGTACACATGGTGTGCAGGGACTGTGTGATGTTCCTGCACCGTGTGCCAGTATCCTAGACCATGCTACCTGTGTTGATCATGCTATGTCCCAATGTTGCCATTCGAAGGTTTGTGTCCTGGAAAAGTTTGTGTCAGGCAAAGTAAGGGTTTAACTTAAAGCTATTGATGCAGAGGAGACATGGCCTGCAGCATCAAAGCCCCAGGACTGTCTGAGTAGCAAGGATTATGACACCATCCAATCTACTAGCTTTCTCTTATTTCTCAATTTAGTTTAATCCCCACAGAAACAGCCTTTTCCCAACAGCAGTACTGTACATTGTTGCAAGCTCTCCCTGTTATAATGCAAAGCATTTAAGAGTGATTTGGTCTTGAACAGCAATTTTAGGGCCATTAACTTTACAAATGACCTGTCCTTATTCATAGCTACAAAATACAACAGCTACAGTACCTTCATTTTTTGACACTCCTTGTGTAGGGGACTCTCTGTGAGGACTGTGATAAACGAAAGAATGTGCAAATTTACCTCAAATAAAATTAAATTTCACCTTAATGCCTACACACTACTATTTTCCTGCCATTTTGCTGCTCTACTAATGTGCAAGTCTTCTCTATATATTTATATGTGTTTAAATGTTTATGTGCGCGCAGATACTTTTTCACTCTTGCCTTTGCCACAGTGGCTTAGAGCAATCCATGCTACAACGGGCTTCCTGTCATTGCCTGATGGGACAAGTGAGCCTGGATTTTAATTATCCAAATGTACAAATACAATCACATTGAACTAAAACGGTGTGACCCGGGATTACCATGTTGTTACAAGAAGACCTCCAGCTGCTCTCCTTGTCTTGCCCCATTGACCCAATAAATGTCTGCACAGGGATAATGTTGCTGAAGGTTAACGTTAACAGCCCCGTCCTGTGCCGGCCAGATGAGCTCAGCTCCTCTGAGGGGAGAATATTCGCAAAGAATTGACAGTATTCTCCGCCGGCAGAAGGAAACCGCTTTGTTCCCATCGGCTGGAGTGAAAGTTTTGAGGTGAATTCCTCTTTTCAAGAGCACGCATCCACACGACTCCTTGCCACCAAGGAGGGAGGGCGGGCGCTGCGGGGGGAGGCAGACCCAGAGAGGTTTCAAAGCAAGAGCGGAAGAAGGGCTCGCTCTGGCGGGATGCTAGGCCGTTCAACGGAGAAGCGCCTCCGAGGACGAACCCGCCCCGCCCCGCCGGTCCCGCTCTCCCCGCCGGCCTCCTCGTCCTTTGGCCGCCACCGCCACCAGCAGCGCCTGTGGTGCGGAGCCTTCGAGAGCCGGCGCTCATGCGCACTGGCGGCGGGGCTCGCGCGCTGTCCTCTGCTGCTCCGCTTGTGCTCCTCCTCTTGCTGCTGCTGCTGCTGGCGTTGGCGCGGCGGCTTTTATTGCTGCTGGCGTGTGTGTGTGTTTCCCGCTCCTCGTTCTCTCCTCACGAGCAAAGGCTGCTTGCTTTCCTCCTGCGCTCTCTGCCCCTGAGAAACCTTCTTTTTTTTCTGGCGGGGGCGGGGTGGAGGGGGGCTGAGACGTTGTGTTTGGACAACAGTCCTGTCCCTCTCAGCCCTCTCCTCTCCTGTTCAATGGGCTAAGCCGGGGCGAGGAGGGAAGGGAGCGGGCTTGGGCGACGAGCTGTCAGGACGCGGCTCCGGCCAGGCTCGAGGTTCTCGAGGCTTGCGGGCTTTTTGGAACCGCGGGCTCCGCCGCTTTGGCGCTGCAGTGCCGGCAGCCGCCTCTGGGGGCGTGGTGCCTGCGGCTGAAAGGACGCCCCCTCTCCGCCGGCGGGGAGCTTCGGGTCGGCCGCTGCCCGGGTAGCCGCCGGGGTCGCTGGTAAGTGGAGAACCGACGGGTTGCGCCGGTTGATGCGTGGGAAAGAAGGGGCGCGCGGGAACGGGAATCCTCCTGGAGGTCCCCCCGCTCTTGAGCCCAAGGACGACGGTGGGGGTGGGCATTAAGGGTCTAGTACTGAGGCCAGTGCACTTTGCACATGTTCAGGAGCATGACATGCCAATGCATTTTGCACATGTTCAGGAACATGACATGCCTGGCTTAACAGTAAGAACCTGGGACGGAACCATTGCTGAAATTAAGTGCTAACCGGTGCGTACTGAGAAGGGGAACTTTAAGTGCTTGTTTGGAAACCTTGATTAGATTCCTAAAATATCAAAACCAGTTGAATCTTCAAGCCCTCCAGGAATTGAAAGCTCACCCGCTTTTTGTTATTTCAGCGGTCCAGCAAAGGTATTAACCACCTTTGTTGGATTTTGTTTTTTGTTTCAGTGGCAGGGTGGGGGTTGGGGAAGCTGAGGATAGTCTTACTATCCGGATGTTTTATCTTCTTAAGAGGTGGTAAGTCTATGATAGGCGAAGAACCTTTAATGAGAGTAGGAGTTTTGATCCGAAAAAAAAACAGAGCAGAGAAAGCCCCCAAACCACTATCTATTGCCCGTCCAGGAAACCATTTGCATTGTTTGAGAGAGCATTTCTTTCATCAGTAGTAATCTGAACCTTGCAGTTTGAAGTTAGAATCCAAAGAGTACATGTTAGCTCTGTCTTCGACTGTAGGGTCAGACGAATCCCATACTATGTGAAGTGGGATTTAACTCACTAGGAAATGTACCTAATGCTGCAGCATTATTTGAAAGAAAGGTCCATTAGTATATCCAGCGTTGCTCCCGTGTTGTTGCGTTTATGTTGAAGATTGGGATGATGGGCAACTTGACAACTGCTTTCATTTGTGGTGGCAATTTGCAAGGCTGTGGTGCCAACCCTGGTATTATGTTCCTGCTTATCCATGAAACTCTCTGTGTGGTCTGGGGAAAATCTGAGGATAAATGAGGATAAATGAGATCAGACGTATAAAAACACTTGAGACAGTAAGAAGTGCTTTCGAATGTGAAGTCACAATATCGGTTTATGCTGAGATGAGCTGTTTGCCGGGATAAGGAGAGACAAACAAAATGGTTAGGAGTTGTGGTGCACGTTTTACACAGTGTCTATAGAGCCTAGCTGAAGACTGAAGCACAGACACCTTCGGTGCCAAGGTTTCTGTTTTTCTTTATGCGACCTTGAATTCTGTAAAGAGTGTGGAGACTGTGGCCTTAGGCTCTGCAGCTAAACATTCTTTGAAGCATACTATGAAAAACTGAGAAACAGTTGGAATAGAACAGGGATGTCAGTTGATTGGGTGCAAATGGCCTTTATAGTTACAGTTTGATTTATTTTCAGTGAAAAATGCTATAGAATGAATTACCATACCCTAATACAGGGTTTACCCCTGATGAAGGGCTTTCTAAGGAACTGCCGTCTGTAGTGGCATTATTTAGAAGATGATAGACAAGGGGATTCAACAGCTGGTGGAAATCCTCTACAAAAGCACTAGTGTATGGTTAAAGGAAGGAAAAAAGGGACATGTTAAGAGTGATTATACATGCAGCATGTGCTATTTTTTTTCTGATACAGAGGAGCTGTGGGATTATTAAATTGCAGATTATCTGATCACAGGTCAAATGGCATCAAATGGATCAGTGCCAACTCTGTAACCAGCTGCCAAGGAGCTCTTGTCTTTTTTGGTTGTTCCCAATCCCTGTGTCAGCACATTTATATCAACTGTGTCTCATTCATTTCAGATAAAATGACTTCCCCAAAAATGTGCTCAGGGTTTCTGTTTCATAATTCAACCTGATTTATGTGCACATTTGAAAGAAAGTTTACCAAAATATGTCACATTTATGGAAAGGTCATTTTGACTAGGACCAATGTACTTTGTTCTGTGCAAACATATTTCGTTTGGGAAATTATTAGCCACAAATCATATCAGTGAACTGTTAAACCCTTGCGTACAGTTGATGGTGTTGAGAAACTAGGGAGCTTTATAGGTATCAAATTGGTAATTGTAATGTGGGAATAACTTCACTGAGCTAGTGGGGTGATTATATCAGAGCCATAGCAAGTAAGGAAAAAAGATTCAATGGGACTTTCTCTCAGTAGACATGCAGAGGACTCCTGCAACCAGTCCTTTGAAAAAAGCCATATTAACAGCACAGATGGGATGGAAGCTGTCAAGAGTCCTCTCCCAGCCTGACCTATCTTATTGTGAAATAAAATAGATGAGGAGGAGAATGGCCATGTACGGCCACTTTCAGTTCATTGGAAGAAAGGTAGGATATAAATCTAACAAATAGATCTGTTGCCCAGAGATCTGACTTTAAGCAGAGTAATATATCATTACTCGTGCTCAGTACTTGAGCTGATTAGATTTGTAAAAGGAATAGGCATACAGGTAGTGCCAAAGAACTGAGCAAGGAGAGGACAGTTCAAACGGGTCAGAAGTAGCCACTACCCAAAAACAAGACATGTTTTTGGGTAGTGCCTAGTGTAGTTCGAGCTATATATTTTCATGTGTCTTAATCGTTTGGGACATTATAAAAGTAAATGCTGTTAGCTCTTTCCACCCAGAAAGCCTTTCTGGTACGCCTTAATACTGCTGTATACAGTAGAATTGGGATTCTGCCAGTTCTCTGTGCCCTCAGGATATCTGCTTTACAGCAGCTGAAATATGCGTACATAGTCCTCTCAGGAGACTCTGCCTTGGGAATGTAGATGAGAATTATATGTTATGTAACAATTGCACATTTGCAGTTGCTCATGTGCTCTAAAATCCATGCATTGAAAATTTTTTACACTTGGAGACTACTCAAGATGTTATGCACTTTAAGCCTACTCCTTTTATAAAGAAAATATCCTTAGGATTGAAGCATTGTTAATCACTGCTATGCTTGACATCACAGACATACTTTATGAAATTCTTTTGTGTGGTTGTGTTAGAGTTTCAGATATTTTATTACCTTTTAAAGGTACACTTGTCCTAGATATTTTCTCCCATGAGGGGGGAAGTCTAAATGAGAGGTATGCTGCACATAATTTGGAAATAAAATATGTCTTTCAGTGAATGAATATTTCCCATGTAAAGCCTGTGTACATTACTGTTTTCTTTTACCATCCCTTGTGCTTCAGGAAAACTGAGTATTCAATTGGGGTCATCCTATCAGAGTCAGTTACCCTGATGTTATAGGGTGGGGTAGATTGAATGTGTGGTTGACCCCATGCCTTTGGGCAGCAGCTACTACCTGCCTTAGTCAACATACCCAATGACAGCCAAAGTCCACAAAATAAGGAAAAGAGCAGATACAGATCAAATGGTTTTCAATGCATTCCTATGGGAAATGCAGATTTGACCTGAGAACTTTTTGACTTGAGAACCGCCTTCCAATACGGATTAAGTTCTCAAGTCAAGACCCCACTGTATTCAATTGGGGTCATCCTATCAGAGTCAGTTACCCTGATGTTATAGGGTGGGGTGGATTGAATGTGTGGTTGGCCCCATGCCTTTGGGCAGCAGCTGCTACCTGCCCTAGTCAACATATCCAATGACAGTCAAAGTCCACAAAATATCCACAGAGTTGTACGTTCCCCATTCCAGTTCTAGGATTCAAGCTTCCCAGTCCTAAATATTATGAACAATATTTTAACTTCGCAGCTGACCATCGTGTCCTATAGATCTTGTACTAAATATATGCCAAATTAGTCTGAAGAGTTTTGTTTGCGTTACTTGAGAGGGGGAAGCAAGGAGGATCATTCTAATCCTTAAAATGCACATAAATGGTTTTCTCTAATTCTTTTTGTAAAAGTATAATTTAATGAAAAATTTATCTGCAGTCAGGTTCTTAATGCATTTCAAAACCCAGAGCAGTGGATAAATCTAATTGAGAGGAGTTTTAATGACAGTATGGGGCAGGGAGAAGGGTTACTGTATGCATTGGTTTCCTAAGTACTCCGTTGCATAATTTAAGCTCCACATTTAACCATCCATTAAAATGATTTTAATTTGGTAGACGACACCATCTGGAGCCTGCTTTTTAAGAAAACACTTCATAATCTGAAGCTAAAATTGCTAAAAGAGCTATGGTTTTAGTATATTTTTCCGACAAGGAGTGTTCATTGAATTTTCTGTGTTGGTTCTAGGTTGATATTCAACTGTGTGTTTGTGTGTGGGGGGTGTTTATGCCTAGAACTTATTATCATTCACATAATGTTAAATACATGTAGACATCTGAAGATCCCATGGGAATCTCCTTGATTATTTTTTTCCATAAAAGTGGCAAGGAGGAGTATCTTTAGGCCACGTATAAAACAAAATAGCTGAAATACAGTGGAACCTCTACTTAAGAACTTAATCCGTTTTGGAATGGTGTTCTTAAGTTGAAACGTTCTTAAGTTGAAGCAAAATTTCCCATAGGAATGGACTGAAAACCAATTAATCCGTTCTGGCTGTTTTTTTGTTATGTAGAGGTGCGTTCGTACATTGAAGCATTAGTTCCCATAGGAACTAATGCAAAGCTGGTTAATACGTACTCTACCACTAGGGGGAGAATTTTTTTTAACCTAAGATGACCTAAGGTTACAAAAAGAGCAGGAAAGGTTTTTTTTCCTGTTCTTATCTTGGATTTCTGTTCTCAAGTAGAAGCAAAATTTAGCAAATGGAGCTGTTCTTAAGTTGGATTGTTCTTAAGTAGGGACGTTCTTAAGTAGAGACCCCACTGTAATCATTTCTTTGTATTTAGTGAGAACACTTTGGCCAGTCCCCCGCATGTGTGTGCGTGTGCGCACACACACTGAAGTGGTGTCAACTGTTTTACAACTATTATTATTGAGATGAATTTTCTGGTGTATTTTCTTCAGAAAACATCTGTGTTTCATTCACATGCAAATTACTTGTTGCTACTGCAGGCATGTATCTTTTCTTTAGACAGCATGTTGGATTAGAAGTC